TGGTACCGGGGATTGAACTCAGGTCCTTGCTCTTGCGAGGCAGGCGGCAGAACCACTGAGCTAAATCCCCAGCCCCTATGGTTATTTCTTTAAAAAAGGCATGTTTGAAAAGATGCCAAAATGACTAATCATTAGGGAAATTAAAATCAAAACTACAAACCACATCATGTCCATTGTGATGGTGTTATTAAAAATAGCAACAGCAGCAACAACAAAACCAAAACAGTAAGTCCCAGGTATTGGTGAGGATGTGGGAAAACTGGAATCCCTGTGCATTGTTAGTGAGAATGTTAAATGGTACAGCTGCTGCAGCAAACAGTATGGAATTCATTAAAAAGTTAAACAGAGTGAACACTTTGAGAAAGATGCCCAAAGGAATTGAAAGCAGAGACTCAGACAGATGTTTGTACACCAATGTTCACAGCAGCATTATTCACAGAAACAAAAGATGGAAACAACCCAAATGTTCACTGCCAGATGAATGTATAATTCAAATATGGTGTGTACATACAATGGAATATTGTCCAGCTTTAAACAAATGAAATTTTGATACATGCATATAGTATGGATATGGCTTTAAAATACAATAATGAAATAAGACAAACACTGTATTATTCCACCTGCATGAACACCTGAAATAGTCAAATTTGTAGGGACAGGGCATAGAATAGTGGTTACTAGGGCTGGAGCAGGGAGGAAATGGGGTGTCATTGTTCAATGAGTACAGAGTTTTAGAGGGGGATAATGAAAATGGGCCGTTGGGGAGTGCTCATGACTGTACAACAATGTAAATATATTTAATACCACTAAATTGTACACTTAAAAATGGTTAAAATGGTAGATTTTATGTTGTGTATATTTTACCACAATTAAAATAATAGTGGTGATGGTTACATAACATTGTGAATGTATAAAATGTCACTGAATCACACACTTTAAAAATGGTTAAGGCAGGGCCGGGGATTTAGCTCAGTGGTTCCGGCGCCTGCCTCGCAAGTGCAAGGTCCCGAGTTCTAACCCCAGTACCAAAACCAAAAAAGGTTAAGGTGGTAAATTTTATGTGTAATTTACCACCATAAAAATGCTAAATATAAAGAAACTCGACATAAACTGACCTTATGATCCAACAATTCTATTCCTGAATTTACCCAAGAGAAATAAAAACAAAAAGGCTTGTTCAAGATTGGTCTTAGCAGTGTTATTTCTAATAGCCCCGATCAGGAAGTAGCCCAAGACATAAGAATGGCCAAACCGACTGTGGAAAATTGTTAAACTCATTCTCCCAGTTGGCTGAACACAGACATGAATGTAGGTTGGTTTGCTCCAGTTGCTTGTCTTTTTTTGGCTTTCCTATTCGCTCTCAGATTTTGACCTAGGGACCACCCGAGGCTACTGAACCTTTAGCACTCCATGGTTGCTTCTGTCAAGACTCTCTCTCCTTGTGCATAGCCTCTAAGACCTGCCTTCCTGCATCTGGGGCACTAGCTTTTGGTCCAGTTGTTGCCAGCACCGACAGGTGAAATATCCCTGCCCTCTGCAGGAGGGAATCAAGGGGCTGAGGTGCTCCAGTATACCTGGGTTGGAGTTTCCATCTCTCCAGTGGTCCCTTGTTCTAGCTACTCTTTTCTATATTTCAAGTAAGGACCCTTTGGCTACCATCGCGTGGGGCCTCTGTGAGCCCTGGTCAGGGCTCTTGAGGGTAACCTCTGAGGAACATTTCCCAGTGACGGGCACTCTACAGGAGGCAAAACAAGCAGTGCATTCTATGTACTATGAGGGCATGGACTTCTCAGCCACCTGGTCTGGTTTTGAATCTGAGCTTTACGGTATCCTTGTGAATCATACCCCTTCCTTGTGTTACAATTTCATCATCAGTGAAAGGAACACTCATGCTACTTCCTTCATAGTAGTGGCAAGGGTTGGTGTGAGGATGGAGTTAATAGGTATAAAGGTCTTGGAGCAGTGTCTGGCGATGGTAAGTGTTGTCGAAGTATGACATTTGTGACCACCTAGTACCAGGTTCTCTATCCATGTTTGGAGGGATTTTGTTCTCAAATGACAAGGGAAAAGAACAAATGTGTGTATCGGCCAGGATCCAGTAGGAGACAGGACACCACACCCGTTTGAAGAGGGAAAAATCTAGTTTAAAGAATTGTTAACTAGCAAATGGCAATGAAGATTAGAGGAATGAGTTAAAAGGAGCAGCCATTACAATGTCTCTAGGGTTGATGGAGAGAAAGAAGCAACCACTGCTTCCCCACCTAGGCTGAGATCCAGAACTCCCAGGGGGAGGGTGTGCCAGTGGCCCTGTGGGTGGCAGAGGAGTTGGCTGAGGTGCCACTGCAGGCTGGGCTGGGTGCTGGCAAAACCCCACCAGGAAGCCGCCCACTGGCAGCTGTGCTGTAGGAGCCAGAAGAGAAGTACTGGGCTGAGGCAGAGAAGGTTGCTCGGCGAGCCTCTAACACTGCTCTGGTGAAGCTTACTGGTGCGACCAGCTGACAGAGGACACATGTTTTCAGGGTCCACTTCTAGGATCCCCCAGCTGGGCAAAGAAGGTGAAGCACTGAATTGGTACACATCCCATCTGTGTTCCCATAGTTTAAAAAAAACTTAACAGGGAAATTTTCCCTAATTATGTATTTATGGTAGTAAAAAGGAAGTTATCAATGATTAGGGTGTCCATGAGCTGTAGTTTGCCTGAGAGTCATAGTTACTGCTTGTTGGTTCAGTACTGTTTTGTTTTGGGTACTAGGAATCGAACTCAGGACCTTGCGCTTATGAGGCAAGCACCTGAGCTAAATCCCCTACCCGGGTTCAGTATTATTAATAGTGCCCCCTTTCATAGTCAGAAATGCCCCCTTCAGAGGACGTTGTGTGGTCTCATACTAGATAGGAATGTATCCACTTCTATCAAACCCTCCTATTGGTAGTAGCTAGAAAATTTGCAACTATAGGGGCCAGGGATGTAGCTCAGTGGTACTGTGGTTGCCTGCCAATTGCAAGGTCCTGAGTTTGATTCCCGGTACTGAAAAGAAAAATTTTTGTACTGTGAACAAGCAAAATTTAGCAGACATGGTGGGGGTCACCTATGACCCCCAGCCTTGGAAGTTTAGCTATTTAGGGAGAACTTTTCTAAAAATAAAAAGAGTTGCGGGGCCAGGGATTTAGCTCAGTGGTTTCACTGCCTGCTGCACAAGCGCAAGGACCTGAGTTCGATCCCTGGTACCAAAAACAAAAACAAAAAAGAGTTGGGAATTTAGTTCAGTGCAAAGGCCCTGTGTTCAATTCCCCAGTACTAAAACAAAACAAAACAAAGAATTCTGCTGGAAGACAACAATGAGCTATCAAGGTAGTCCAGGAGTTAAGAGGCCAGGATGTAAGTGAGAGGAGAAAGGCCTGGAGGTGAGCTTGATAGCCTGAGCCACTTCCCTCCTAGAAGCTTTTGCTGATTTGTAGGTGGAAGTAACTGAGATGCTGAGAAGCTGAGCAGAAAGCAGTGGCTGCCAAGAGGAATATATGATAAAAAAGAAAGCACATCTGAGTCTTCCTAAAAAAGCTATTTTAATAAGTATAAAAATAAAAATTCTAGGGCTGGGGATGTATCTTAGTGGTAGAGCACTTACCTATCATGCCCAAGGCCCTGTGTTTGATTCCCAGTAACAAACTAAAGAACCTCAAAACTAAGCCAAAACATTAAGTGACATGAAAATACTACAATATAGTTAAAAGGGTAGCTTTTCTCCATCCAAGTATGGGTGCTTCTATAGGGGAGAATCCTATCAGATGTGTTGGGTCAAACTGATACATGTATTTTAAACTTTGACAGATTCTGCTAAACTATCTTCAAAACCAAACCAAACCAAACAGTGTTCATTTCCCCATGCTCTTTCCAACACTGGGAGTTACCAACCTTCTGGATGTTTCCCCGCCTGACTGGCTCTCACCATTTCTTCTTTTTCTTCTTCTTTTTTTTGGTACCGAGGATCAAACTCGGGACCTTGCACTCGTGAGGCAGGCGGCGGAACCACTGAGCCAAATCGCCAGCCCACACCATTTCTTCTTTTTGGCTTCAACCCAGAGTAAAAGGCTCTGTGCTGCCTCAGTTTACCACGTGGATCTGAGCAGATTACATTTCCTCCACATGGCACTGGTGATGCTCTGGAGCTATCAGGACAGAAAGGGATTTTAGGCACTGCTCAACACCAGTCACTCTGAAAGGCATTCAAGACGGTCCACACTGTTAAAGATGGTAGGAGTATCTTTTGCATTTCTAGTTAGAAAAGTAATACTTGAAATAATTATTAAGGCGACATCAATTGAAATGGAATCACTTGGGAGCTGCTGGATGCATGATGCCCAGGATGCATAGCAGTCCTGTCCCCCACATGCCTGTCCTTGCTACAGCTGCTCAGGTGCCTCCTCAAGTGGGGTTTGACTTCTCTACAGAAAATTATGGTAATCAAATACTGCATCATAAGGAAAGGCCGGGGATTTAGCTTAGTGATTCCGCCGCCTGCCTCAAAAGCGGAAGGTACTGAGTTCAATCCCCGGTTCCCAAAAGAAAAAAAAAAAAATACTGCATCATATACAACCACAATGAAATACTGGCTAATATAAACATATATGATTCCATAAATTTGAGTCAAGATGATCTTCATTCATTAGACCCATAAATTGCATTTAGTTAATCAAAATGTTTGTATGGCACATCATGGTGTCTCTAGTGTATCAGGAACCAAAATCATAAAGACAAAATATAGGGACCATTATAATCAGTGTGGCTTCTCGTTATTAGGAATAAAGATCCTCCATACCAACTTTGTGTTATTTGTGGAATGGCTCTTACACACAACAATCTGAACTCTTCTGTTTTAGCTCATCATTTAGATACAAAAACATGGAAGTAATAAAAATAAACCAGCTTTTTAAAGTGCAACAGGCATACATTCCAAACATTTAGGAAAGCAGTTTTTGTCTATTTCTGATGCCATAATGAGTCATTAAATTTCATACATTTTAATATACAGTACATTTGTCCCAATACCAAAGGACATGTTATTTTAAAAGTTATGAACAAAGCATGGTCTCCCCTTAGATAATTAAGTTAAACATTTTGAATTACTTGGTAAATGGGAAAATGTTGAGATTAGTCTTTTTATACTACAGGCATTGCCATTTTAATATTATACATTGATCTAAAATAAGTTTTATTTAAATATCACTTTTTGGTATATGTGTTACACCATCTGTTAAATGATTAAGCTAATTTCGAGGTGCTGGTAGGAGTTGCATGGTGAAAGGGGTTCTCCAGTCAAGATAGGCTGGAAAGCTCTTATCTGCTCTAGGTGCTTCCATTTAAACAGGAGGCATCTTAGATGGAGGGGAGGGAGAGACTTACATAAGGTTTCTTAGCATTCAGGGCCAGTGAGTGCCACAGCTAAGGCTCCTGGCTCACTGCTCTGTAGAGGCAGCCTGGGTGTGGGTAAGAGATTTGCGGGTCCTACCAGACTACTCTTTCCAGGACAATGTCTCTTGCAGCTGGGGTTCTGACCTGCACCCTCTCCAGATTCAGCATTTCCTGTCTAGCTTCCTCAATTTCCTTGTGTGCTAAGCTAATTCAGCTCCTTTTAGGAGGCACTGTCTTCCCCTTGCACACAGTTGCGACCTGCCACTATCTGCTGAGCCAATAGAGGTGCAGACACATGAATGGGGTGAGAAGGGGGCTGGGCCACCTGCAGGTGACTGGTGCTCACTGGATCAGCAGGTGACTGAGGAAGGAGGACCCCCGGCAGGTTCTTCAAATGGTAATGCATTTGAGAAGACACTGTAAAAAGGTTCCCAACTCATTCTCCTTGTTACCAGGAAATTAATCCCTTTCTATTCAGAAAAAAAAATATGCTCATCCTGTAGCAAACTCTATATTTATCTCTTCAGCTTGTTCCAGCTTTTGGGAGAAACTTATTTCAAAGGATCACTGTGTCACCAATTTCTCACCCCAAACTGGGTTCTTTATCCCTCTCAGAACTGCAGAACCAATAAGACCAAGCCCTGATGGAGCAGAAAAGAATTTTCTTCTTGGCTAAGGACAGGAGAAGTGGGAGATAAAACCCACAAATCTGTTGGGGGCCCGGGGACTATGGATATAAGGTAAAAGAACTGAGGGGGAGAGATAGGCTAGTAAAGGGCAGAATAGCTATGACTTTTCTGGGCATTCAGGTGCCACTTCTTCCTTCTTCTCATGGTTCTTTCTAGTCACTGTCACAGAAATTGTCAACTGTCCTAGCACTGGGGAGTTTGCCATTGGGTGTGCAGATGGGATTATAAGGAGGGTGGTCTGGCAGTCACTCTAGCAGCCATCTTGGGTCCAACCAGTCTCAGCCAGCCCATCTGAAAGAGGGACTTTGGCTTACTGGTGTCCTGTCTTTAAAGACACACAAGATTAGGGCCAGGTAGAAATGCAGCTAGGTCAAGCAGGCAGTGCAAGAATGGGTCAAGGAAACATCTGCCCTTGCCTTACCCTGGACTTGCCCCCATATGATCCAAGGAGCCCCAGTCCTGCATCCTCTCTCCTGCCTGGTGCCTGGTGGGATACAGTAGGGTGCTGCCTATCCCTTTTCTGAGCTGTTTTTTGATGTGTCTCTTACAGTTACAAAACAACCAGACAGTCTCACTTGCCTCCTTTTTCTTGGTGGATTAATCCAGTCTGCACATGGTGTTGAGTTTTCTAAAAACATCATCAGAGCTGGTATGGTGGCACATGCCTGTAATCTCAGTGCTCTGGGAGGCTGAGACAGGAGGATTAAAGGTTTGAGCCCAGCCTGGACAAGTCAGTGGCTTAGTGAGACCCTGACTCAAAAAGTAAAAAGGTCTGGTTTGTAGTTCAGGGCAAGGCCCTAGACTCGGTCCCCAGTACCACAAAACAAAGCAAAACAACAAAAAACACTGTTCAAGAGGCCCATGCCTTTCACAGAATCTGTGGCTGTCTCCTCCTTGCCAACCTGGGCACTGTTACCTCTCCTGCTTAAATTTCAGGGTCTTCTGTAGTCTGGCACTTGACGTTTGTCACCCTAACACAACCTGTTTCTGTGGCCAAGTCACCATGAAGCCAACTACACCTTACTTCTGCTTCCATGGCTTGCCCATGCTGGTCCTTGCATCGAGCGCCTAAGTCACCCTGCTGTTTGGTCTCCTGGCTCTCCTAGGTAAGTAGAGGGGTCAGGAACAAGGTGACAGGTGCTCAGGAGACAAGATGTTCGAGACAAGCTGGAGAAAGAGTGGGCTGGGTGGGTGGGTGGAAGGACTTCGGAGGTGGCAGCCGCTAGGAGGTCAGGAGGAGGCCCAGGAGTAAGCTGGTTCCGGGTGGAGTAGTCAGGTAAGATGAAGACGGTCCTGGGCCAACAACACAAATGTTCACATTTTAATTCCTTTTGAAATAAGAGAGGAAAAAGAAAAGACTATGTATGAATGTAACTATAAATCCAGCCTGGATTATACTCATTTTTATTCCATCTCAGTAGTAAATTATAATTTTTTTTTTTGGTAAACTATAATTTTTAAAAAGGTTTTTATTTTTTAAAACTGAGGAATGGGGCCCCAGAAAACAAAAGTGCTTATGGCCCGGAACAGTCATAATCTGGTCCTGGATACAGTGTTTATATTTTCTGGTTAAAAAATAGATATTCGGATATTTTTATGAGATCTTTTGATTTTGAATATTGAAAGTCTGTTTTCAAATGAAAGAAAATAAAACATTTTGTGGTCCAACACTGGGTTTAGGCTACCGCCTCTCCGAAACCCGGGTCAACTTCGCCCTTCGACAGGGGGCGCTCGAGTCGGCTCGAGGCGCGCCAGCTCCCGCCCGGGCGGGAAGGTAGGGTGTCACCCCCGGGCAGAGCCCAGGCCGCGCGGGAAGGCGGTCGCCTGTGGCCCCGAGCCCAGGCCCTTGTCGTGTGTCACGGCAGCCGCGAGGCCCCTCTGTGCCACACCTGCCCTTCGGCCGCCTCCCCGAGGACGCGTGGCGGCTCCCGGCCGCTGGCCCTGGCGGCCCTCCCGTGGGGCGGCCCGCGCACTTTCGAGGCCCCAAAGGCCGCGTGCTAACCCGCCCTCCGTGTCCGAACCGGACACTCACAGCACTCCCGGCTGGTTGGGATCCGCGTGCCGCACCACACCCGAGAGCGCGGCCCGAGTTGCAGAGAGCGCGGGTCCGAGCTAGGGCGATTGCGCATGCTCCACGGCGGGCGTAAGGAGCCCTGATAGAGCCATCGCGCGGCCGGCTCAGCGGAGCTCCAGTGGCGCAATCGGTTAGCGCGCGGTACTTATACAGCAGTACATGCAGAGCGATGCCGAGGTTGTGAGTTCGAGCCTCACCTGGAGCAGGACCCTTTTGGGTGTCCGCGCGTCTCATTTTCCCATTTTATCTCCTTGCCGAAAGGAAGGAGCCCGTCTTTTAGACCCAGTTCCCGCCTCTTAACTAATTTGCCCCACGATCTGCGCTGTCGCGGCAGGAAGCAGCTTTTCCCGCCTCTTAACTGCTTTGCCCCATGCCGCAGCAGGAAGCGGCTCTTTACCGGTTTCCTGAGCTGCTTGTGGCCACCGCGCCGCATCCAGCGCTCAGACCCAGAAGTCGACCTCCTGCTTCTTCTCCTAGGAGCGTCTTTAACTTAGTCTCGCACCGCCGACGCGGGGCGGAGGTCCAGGGCGCTGCCCTGGGGCGGGAGCCCTGGCGGGGCTTGAGGATCGTGATCTGGGGCGCTCCTCTGGGATGAGGCCCGAGGCCCTGCGCGGGCCGGCGAGGGGGACTTGGGCGGCTGCCCCTCCCAGCGGGCCAGCGGCGCCTCCGCAGTCCCGACCTTCCCTGGGGCTGCAGACCCCGGCAGAGCCCTCCTGGGGCGGATCTGTAGTTTAGAAAAAGAGGCTGGGAGCCCGCCCCCAGCGTGTCACTCTGGAATGGAGAGGGTTTCTAGGGCTGTCCGAGGGGCGCCCATCGCCCCGGCTCAGGAGTCGCCCTCGGAGCCAGCTGGGTTTGCAGCCAGCTCAAGACGCCCCGGGGCTGCTCGGTGCCCCAGGGGTGCGGGCAAAGCAGGAGCGAGTTTAGTAGGACCGCAGGGGGCCTTCTGGACTCGCTCTCTCTCAAAAGGGCAGTCTCCAGCGCATCAGGTCCGCATCCTGAGTAGTTGGGATGGAAATACGACGGGGAGTGGTGGAGCTATGTTGTTCTCTATGTTGCCTGGGCTGGTCTCAAAGTCCTCCCTCCATTCAGCTCCCTAGTGGTCTACTGGTTAGGATTCCACATTTTCAGAGTCCTGCGATCAAGTCCCCCCGCTGCCTCAGCTTCCCAAGTAGCTGGGAATACAAGTTCGCACCACTCTGCCCAGCTCATTTCTTTTTACAACTGAATAATACTACATTGTATGAATTATTTGCATTTTTTAACAAAGGGGAAACTTCAAGATGGAATTAATTTTGAAATGTACAAAGCATGAAAGTGATCAGACTTGCCCAGTGCAAGTTTCTGACCTCCACATTCACTCAGTGACTACCAAAGGGTATGTTCTGAGAGCCGAGCGCACACAGAGCGGGAGTTCCCTACATGGAAAACATAAATGAGTGAAAGATCATCCTGTCCAGATTCCTAGCCACAGCAAAACAAGTTGTATAAACCCCCGGCTCTTATTTGAAAACTTCCAGCCTCAGAATTTCATGTCCTTTCAAGGCAATCTATTCATTTCTGACAACTCTGGTGGTTAGAAGATCCTTCTCCCATATCGTTTCTTCCTCCATTGGTTATGGGTGAAATGCGAGTGGCCTGGGGAGTATTTTTTTTTTTCTGGTAAAAGAGTTGGGATGGGTGGGAAGGAAGGAAGGTAAATCAGTTGTTTAGAAATCCAAAAGAGGAAATTATCGGTGGCAAATAAATAGACTACTGTATAAACAGATTTGTTTCTTAAAGTGATGATAAGAATTTTTTTAGGGTGTTGGTGGGTAATAAAAATCAACTTAAAATTATGGAGAAAATGCTTTGTAGATCAAAAAGCATGATGACATTACCACCAGATGAGTGGGTTAGACTTGTGTAGAATGTAGGGTGGCTTCCAGGAGGAAGATGGCTAAGTGTGAGGTAAACACACCGGAAGGAAGATCAAAGGCGTAGCTGGACAACTCCAGCCCTCAACAGGAGAGAGGCCTGGCGCTCCAAGGTGACATCACCTTTGCAGATGGCTTAGATAAAGATGGGCTCATCAGAACCTCTGGTGACACAAAGTGGAAAGGAGTGCAGATTCAGCAGTGCTTGGAGGAATAGTGGAGCCTATCCGCACACAAATGTTTCTGATGAACAAGATGCAATTTAATAGAGATGGTTGGGAGTCTGTGCTCTGTTCCAAACGCAGAGTGTGGCGATGCCAGGCACAGCAGCTGTTTTCGTGTAAAAGATCTGGACGTTGCAGATGCGTGCTGCCTTAGTGTGACCCAACTGCTGAGAATGTCAACCAGTTATTAACGCACTGCTGTGTAATGCATTACATGATGTAGTGTCAGGGATCACAAAATAGCAGCCTGTGGAACAGATCTAGCTTGCAGACAGGTTTTGTTTGGCTTTCCAGCACTGACTCGAAGGTGTTTACATTTAAAAAACCATTTCTCTACATATTTCATAGAAATGCCTAGATTTCCAGTTTCTAACAATCAGAAGACTACCCATCTGGGGCCCTTATTCCTCCATGGCAACATTGGCTTCCCCTTTTGGAGGTCTATGTGGTGTTTGGGTACCACGGTGCCTGTCACTGACCATTAATCTCCGACACAGGCATGGGTGCAGCTGCCCCAACTCACGGAGTTCACTTCCTCCTCTGCACCCTCTGGCCACGCAGTGCACGGCCTCTGTGCGGGTTGAGGGGGGCAAGATTCCTGTGGAACTCTCAGTAGGTCAGGACACAGCCAGAGGGCTGTGATCTGTAGGAACAAGTGGTTTAAAATTCAACAAAAAAACCCCGAAGCCCAGTTCTCTATTATGGAAAATTTCAAACATATACACAAGTGGAGAAACAGCATAGTTAACCCTAATGTATCCATCTCCGTTTAAAGAATTGTTTTATCCATCTGCTTCCCACCGAATTCCTCTCCCTACCCCTGGAGTATTTTCGGGGAAAATCCCAGATAGTTTAAATTATCCTGCACGCTGGGCAGGACGGTGCATGCCTGTAATTCCAGCTCTTAGGAGTCTGAGGTGGGAGGATCGCCATTTGAGGGGAGCCTGGGCTACATAGCAAGTTCAAGGACAGCTTGAACTGCCTAGCAAGTCCCTGTCCCCACCCACCCAGAAAAAAAATTTATCTTGCAAATACTGCAATAGATATATGCAATAGGTAACCACTTTAAACAAAAAAGCATAACCATGGTATCATTGCATCTAACTAGAACAACAGTTCTCCACATTGTCTCTTTAAATCAAGATCCAAATGAGGTCCACCTTTTGCTTTTTCTTTTTGTTTTTGGAGACAGGGTCTCACCACCACGCCCAGCTCCACCCTTTGCATTTGACCAGTATATTAATCTGTACTAATTCCTTCTCTTCTCATTTCCTTTTAAGACATTTTTTTGGTTGGCCTATAGAATTTCCCACAGATTTTGGCACCTTTTCATATGCCCATCAGTCTCCTGTGGCACTTAGATCTACACAATATTTAGATTTATTTATTTGCAAAATATATATTTCAGGTGCTACCGTGCACTGTTACAGTGCCACAGAAACTACATGATGTCTTGTCCCTCATCTAATGTTAATTTTGGTTGATAATACTGAATGTGGTCAGCCTAATCTGTCCGATAGTGATTTCCTCATCAGCCTCTAACCAAATGATTTTAACAGCCATTTATGATCTGCGTCTAGATTTATTTTAAAAAATATTGTTATTGTTGTTATTGGTGTTGTTGTTGTTGTTATTATTATTACTTGGAGACAAGGTCTTACTACGTATGTAGTCTCCACTGGTTTTGAACTTGCAGCATCCTTCCTCAGTCTCCTGAGTGCTGGGATTATAGGCCTGCACCACCAGGCCTGACTTTTATTTACTTTATTTTTCTGGCTTTTATTTAGTTAGTTTTTTGAGGATTACACAATGATAGTTTTCTCATTCTATTATTCCTTCTTCATTTATGACTATGGTTCTAAAAAAACTCTTTTTTTCTCACCAATTATTTAGTTTTCCTAAGGCACAATTCACATGGAAAAGATTGGATAATTGCTTCATTCTTTTTTTCAACCAATATTTATAGTAAGGAGTCGACGCTCTAGCAATTTTCAAAAGTAGCCAATTATCTTTCCGTTTTATAGCTCTATTGGAGTTATGAGTGATGTACAGTGAGCAGTGAGCTGCCCAGTGAACAGCATTAATAATGTTAAGTCATTTTTATGTGCTTGTTAGACATCTATATTCTTTGATAAAGTGTATGCTCAAAATTTTTGAGCTTTTTTATGGAATTGTCTTTTTTTTGATGAGTTGTAAGAGTTTTTTGGTATATTTTAGATAGTTTCTTTATTGGCTTTATGTTTTATAAATAATTTCCCCAGCTTATTAGTCAGGGGTCTCCAGAGAAATAGAATGTAGAGAACACTGGCAGGGCAGTGTGCTTGCTTACGCCACAGTGCCACAAACACAGGAGGAATGTACCATGACAACACAAGTGCTCTGACAGCACTGGCTGATGGGAAATTTTCAGTGCTATTATAGTTTTATGAGGTCACCCTTGTGTATATGGTCTGTGATCGGCTGAAACATGTTTTGTGGCTATTGTTCTTCTTCTTTTATATTTGGCTTTAATTTTTTCTCTTTTTATAGTTTCTTAAGCTTAAACTGTTATCCTAAATTCTCTTTGTTTTTATTTTCCCTGCTGATTGAATGGCCCCTGGGAGTGTAGGGAGGCCGCTGGTGTAGCCTCTGCTCTGGGAAGGCCTGGTGGGGTGAGGAGCTTTCCTTCCTTACCGTGGTTCCTGGTCTTACCCCACAAGTCCTTGCTGCTCCTGCCTCTGACTTAATGACCTAGGGGAGTGGACTCCCTTTCTCTTCCTTTTCCTTGTTTCTGCCTTGGAGCCTGGCTGAGGTCATTCCTCTCTTGGAACAGCTTCCGGAAAGTCTTAGGAGGCTGATTGCTCTGTGGGCATGAGGCAGTCAAACAGCTTTCAAAGACCCTGCTGGGCACAGTCCCTCCTCCTCACATCACCTTGTTTGGCACTTGCTTATTATGTCATTGACTGTCTAAAATTATCATGTTTGTCTCAGCGTTCGTGGTTCATCTCCCATCGCTGGGCTGTGATCTTCCATGGTGCTGGGCTATAGGCACACAGTGCGTATTTCATGCATGAACAAAGGATGGGTGAATGAAGCAGCACATGGGCCCAGACTCTGGAGCTGAGTGAAGAACCAGTGCCCAGTTGCTGCTGGTCTACTTTGGAGATCAAGTCTGGAGCCCAGGATTTAGAAGTTCTCTGGAGTCTTCCCAGGGGCTCTTTCACAGAGCTCGTGCCTTGCCTGGAGTGGCTTATTGGAGTAACTTTCATACTAGGTGCAGGGGAGAAACTACGGCTGGAGAGCATTAGGATGGTGGCTCTCAAGGCTGGTGTTGGTGAGGACCGTCCAGGGAGCTTGCACCATGCACAGCTACTGTCCCACAAATGCTGTTGAGGACCCTTAGGAAATCCATAGCTGGCCTGTGGGGAAAGGTATGGTCTGGCTGATGAGCTTGTCCAGTTTCAGCATGGAAAGCCACATGTTCCAGGAAGTCCTTCTGTCCCTGGTAAATCAGATTGGCTTGCTGCTCTCAACTGAAGCTTTCTGACAGGCAGATGGTGGCTGATGGCTAGGAACGGTTTCATGCCAGAGCTGAGGTATGAGTGTCTTGGCTTTAGCTTGTGACTGGCCCAGAGCACTCCTTTGAGCAGTCTGGCTTTCCCAGGCACCTGGCGCGAATGGAAGGAGAAGAATTAGTTTCTTAAACACCTGCAATGAGCTGGCCGCAGC